GGATGGATGGATGGATGGATGGATGGATGGATGGATGGATGGATGGATGGATGGATGTTAGTCAGCAACCAGCAGATGAAGAAGTGAAGCTTCTGGCTGATCTCCAGAAGCTTCTGTTCCACCATCAGAGTGAAGCTGGTTCTGTTGCTTCCAGGAGACGTTCTAAGTTCTCAGGAGAACCAGAGTCTGAGCAGGATCCTCAGATATAAACATCTGTTCTGGAAAGACAGAGGATATAGATCTGTGTCTACTAGATGTGACACCAGAATGCTCCATCTGAGCGGGACGTGTTTGAGCAGAACCTTCAGCACGGTCCCAGCGTCAGAGGAACCCTCCAGCTCCGCCTCAGAGGTCAGAGGTCATGATCCAGAAACAGGTCTACTGGCTGCTGGAGGAGGAGCTGTTCTCCACACTGAGCTCCTTTATCCTCCATCCTCTGGTGGAACATGGAGAACTTTAGATCTTCATGCAGAAGAACATCTGAGCGGCAGAAAATTAGCAATAGAACTGCAATAAGTTTGATTCAAGAGGAATCTGGAGTCCAGATCTACAGAAACCAGAACCCACAGGAGAACCACAGGACCAACATCTGGGTCCCCATCAGCAGGAACCTGCTGAGGCTCTGGTCCTCCTGGAAGATCTGGAACTGAGACTGATCTGGAGGAGAGGAGGAGAGGAGCAGAGGAGGAGGAGAGGAGCAGAGGAGGAGGAGAGGAGCAGAGGAGTCCAGTTCTGAGCTCCTTCATGTCTTCCTCTCTGAGGAGAACCAGCATCAGGAGGTCTGAGAACATCATGATCCTTCTGGGTCAGGAGAACATCTGGAAGCTCTGGATGATGAAGATGATGATGATGATGATGGATCAGAGATTCAGAGATGAAGAATCATCATCATCATCCTCACTAAGCTCACCTTTCACCGTAAACTGGTTTAGACTGGATCGATATGATCGATAACCCCCCCCCTTACATAACAGCATCTTTGTGAGCGGGACATGCGGTTCATGCGGGACATGCGGGATATGCGGGACATGCGGGGCTCTCGGGTTGCTGTGGGGATTCCCTACGTCATCAGGTCTGCAGCAGCAGCACCGTGAGGATGAAGATCATCCTGCTGATGGAGCAGAGACTGCGGCCGCATCATCATCATCATCATCATCACCTCCATCCCCGCAGCAGAGCCTTCATCACACCGCTTACCTTTGACGCAGAGCTGCGGGATGGAGGAAGGCCTCCTCCTCCTCCTCCTCCTCCTCCTCTCGGTGCTCCTTCAGTCACGTAGCGGGTCGGTTCCGGTCCAGAGGTGCATGAAAATCCTGCGGCTACCCTTCCTCCTCCTCCTCCTCCTCCTCTTCCTCTCTCTGCAGCTGCTGACCGGAGGATGGCGTCCTGCTTCCTGCCGCTTCCTGCCGCTCTGGTCCCTCCAGCAGCGCAGGGACAGTCCGCTTCTCCAACTCGCCTCTCTGCATATTAATGTGGGGAAAATACCGGAGTGGGCGGGGCCTCAGCCAACCTGTAGATCAACACGCTGCCGTCCAATCAGAGGCCGTCCTTCTTATAAACACCTTTAGATCAAAAGATCTCCCATCATTTGATGTTTGCTATGCGGCTGATGGATGGAGCTGATGGTCTGACTGCATGGAGACAGAAGCTCCTTCAGTCTGATCAGCAGGAGGTCAGCAGGAGGTCCAGATCATCATCTATGGGAGAACAGGAAGGTGTGCATGGCTCAGGCTGAGCAAGGCCAGGTGTACCTTCTATAGAAATAACAACAGCACAGAGAAAACAGTTTGTGATCAAATATACCGTAATTCATAACTGGGAGTAAGCAGGATGATGAAAGGGGTCCCTATGTCCTCCAGCAGTCTAAGCCTAGAACTATAGAGATAGATCAGGATAACCTGAGCCACTCTAACTAGAAGCTCTATCAGAAAGGAAAGTTTAAAACGGGTTTGGCTCATATTTAGGCTCAGATTCTAACATCTCTGCAGGTTGGAGACAATAAATGCTCTGTGTGTCGACTGTCATGGTTGCTAGGCGACAGCGTAGGCTGAGTGACAGGCGGTGAGAAGGCGGACCCTCCAGGACCCAGTCCAGGTAGAGCAGGTCCTGCTGCCGCTGTCAGACATCTACCAGGTGTTTCTAGCTCTGCCTCCATGGTCCTGATGCTGCAGGGAAATGCTGCCCCCATCAGGTGCTAATCAGGAACTGCACCCTGACCTAAACACCATGAAGTGGATCATCTCTGATGAACCAGAAATAAATCAGTCAGATTTAAACACTCAGAGCCGTCCGATAAAGAAAATAACAGAAAATGGATGGAATTGTTTTTATCGCTTTTATTCAAACATTTGTGCCAAAAAGTCCCATTTACATTTCACTCAACTAGAAACAGGAGAAATAGAAAAACATGAACCAGATTTTACACAACAGAGAAACCTGAGGATGAAAGACCTTCAGAAACATCAACAGCGTTTGTTCGGTTTCAGGGCACATCGCACATTTATGACGGGTCAGCGTTTCCTGATCAACAGCTCACCGGACCGGACTGGACCGGGACCGGGGCCGGACCTAGACCGGACCGGGACCAGGACTGGACCAGGACCTGGACCAGGACCGGAACCAGCCAACAGGAGGTACAGGCTGGACAAATTAAGGCAAACATGATTGGCCCATGTGGCACCATCAGGTCTGATGGGGCGACTGGAAACACTGGAGGAGGGATTCCTTCACAGACGCTGACTGAGAAGCTTCACCTGGTCCTGGGTTCTCCAATCAGCTCTAAACCGACCTGAAGGACGGAGCTCATCCAGAAACATGGAGCAGCTGGGTTCTGGAGTCTAAACCTCAGTTTTCAACCAGCAGGAACCAAAAGAGACGAGATGTTCCTCAAACCATCTAAATAACCCCCCCCCCCACACACACACACACACAAAAAAATAAAAATAAAAAACAATCACATTTTAAACAGAAAACCAAAAAAAAATTCCCTCTGAGCCCAAAAAAAGCAGCATAAAAACCTTCCTTTGAGTTTCCTGCAGCAGGAAGATTCACAGCGACACAGAACATCAGAGAACATCAGAGAACATCAGAGAACATCAGAGAACATCAGAGAACATCACGGCTTTCACTCGTCTCCTCTAGAAGGTCGGCGCACGGTGACGACCACGCCATACCTGCACAGAACAGCTGACAAGAAGACGTTCACCATCACAGAACCTGCAGGTTCTAATCAGCCCGAAAAGACAGAACCTAAGAACACTAATGAGGAACCAGAGAAGTCCAGTCTGACAGGATGTTACCAGAACCAGAACCGCTCAGTTAAACCTTATGGACCGGTTCTGAATGTGTTCATAAACCCGAATCACTGAGCAGGAAAACATAACTTCATCAGAGCGTGATAACAATCCAAGATGGCGGCCAGGAGAGGAACAGAAATCAGCTTAAAAGGTGCCGAGTGGCGACAAACTGCTGAGGCTTTTATTTTGACGAGTCATCAGAGGTCAGCAGGGGTCACAGAGGTCAGCAGGGGTCACAGAGGTCAGCAGGGGTCACAGAGGTCAGCAGGGGTCACAGAGGTCAGTCTATGAGAGCTTCCAAACGGTTCTGCTTCCTCGTATCATCAAGTGATTGGGTCAGATAGTAAACGGAACCAGAACCCTGACCCAAAGTGGACTTCCTGTTCTCCCGATGAATGTAAACAGTTCTGTCAGCGGTTCTGGTTCTGGGCCCTGACCCGACTGCAGGCAGTATTAGAAGACGGCGCCGTGGGTGGACCGGGTCACGCACGGCGCCGTCCACAGACAGAAGGCAGAACTACAGACACAGAGTAAGGCAAACATGGTGTCAGGACATCCAGCGGGTCACAACAGCTCCTCCAGCCGCTTTTCTTTTTAAATCGGACCTCTTGGTGGCGGTTCTAGGCTTTGTATTTCTATGGCTCGGCTGGACCCGGGACCAGCGGAGCGGGTCCAATCAGAAGATGAAGCAGAAGGCCAGGGGAACCAGCACTGCCTCCAGGAAGTAGGCGAGTCTGTAGAGGTGGAGTGAAGAGAAGGTTGCCATGGTGACAGCCAATGGGAGAGGGAGGCGGGAGATGACTGGCAGGAGTCTGCTGTGAGAGAGAGGAGGAGGAGCTATGAGCACAGAGCTGGTTCTGATTGGTTCTCAGCTCTAGATCTTCATCAGAACCTTACAGGTCAGAGACGGAACTCGTGTGGAACCAGAGGAACAAACCGCAGAAATTTCTGCTTTCATTTCACATTTTAACAAAAAACAAAAGGTTCTGATAGGAGGTTCTCCATGGTTTTATAGGAGGTTCTCCATGGTTCTATAGGAGGTTCTCCATGGTTCTATAGGAGGTTCTCCATGGTTCCATAGGAGGTTCTCCATGGTTCTATAGGAGGTTCTCCATGGTTCTATAGGAGGTTCTCCATGGTTCCATAGGAGGTTCTCCATGGTTCTATAGGAGGTTCTCCATGGTTCTATAGGAGGTTCTCCATGGTTCTATAGGAGGTTCTCCATGGTTCCATAGGAGGTTCTCCATGGTTCTATAGGAGGTTCTCCATGGTTCCATAGGAGGTTCTCCATGGTTCTATAGGAGGTTCTCCATGGTTCCATAGG